GGGCCGCGGTGTCTTTCCAGGCTGCAGGCCTGTTGCTCAGGACCATATCAGGAAAATGTAGACATGAGTAGGCCATTAACCTCTTCCTGGGGTGGTGACAAGGGTGCAGGCTCTGTGGGGCAGGAGGTGCCCTGGCTTGGGACTCTGGCTCTGCCCACTGGCCGCAGAACAGCCTTCCTGGAGAGCAGCATGTTCATTCCAGTATCCAAGCGCCTCTGGCTCTCCAGCCTCAGAGAGGACTCGACAGTGACCCCTGTGGCTGGCCACACCCTGCTGCGTTCCCTGGATCTCAGTCCCCACAGAGCACTGGGGCTCCAAGCCAGAGACAGTGTGCTGGGGCAGCTAGAGGCTGGACTGGGAGGTGGGACGTCTGGATCCCAGCCCCAGCTCCGGGCAGACACCCTCAGCACAGCCTGCTCCTCTCCAGACCTCAGTTTACCCAGCTGGGAGCTGGGGGTGGGGGAAGCCTGGTGCCCAGGGCCCTCCCAACTCTCAGGATGTCTGCTTCATACTTACGTTCACTGTTACTTAATCCAGTGTTCCATGACTGCCCGCTGTGCACCTGCACTGGCCCCTACTGCGTGCCATAAGGGCCCCTGCTGCTTGCTCACTCTGCAGGAAGCCCCCCTCCTTCATCCCAGGTCTCAGCTCCCCACAGGAAGCCTTTGGAACCAGCTCTGGGGTCCCTCTCCCATCCCCACTGCACGCCTCTGCAGCCCAGTCCTTCCAACAGCCTTGTCACTGGCCAGCCCAGGTCTCCTCATCCTCTCTGCTGCCCCCTAGTCGTGGCCCCCTCAGGGCAGAACCACATCTTATTCCCTGACCCACCCCCAGGAACTCCAGGGGGGAGTCCTAAAATAGCCCTCAGGAAATGAACAAGTGAATGAATGTATGAAGTCCAAATCTCTCTCCCCTGCCCCAGCGCAATGCTCCCAGTTATGCTTTCTGCCTCTGCACCCTCTTCCTCAAACCAGCCCCTGGAAGGCCCTGGAGCAGATGCCACCGCCAATCTGGCACCTTCCTAGCCCCCCAGCCCGGTGACCAGGTGTCGACAGGTGTGTGTGCACTGGCAAGGCATTGGCTGCTCTGAGGGAGCCACTGCCCAGGGTTGATGGGAGTCCAGGTCTCCGCAGTTCTGGACTGGGCCCTGCGCTGTCCCCGCAGACACTCAGTACACCCTGAGGCAGTAATTAACTTCCTCCCGGGAGCAGTGGCTCAGTGCCAGCTCCAGGGGGAACAAGGCACCCCAGCCTTTCTCAGGCACCCAGACAAGTCAGTCCAGACCTTCACCCAAAGAAGCCTCGTGTTGCCCGAGGGGTGCAGATCAGAGGGGTCCTCACATGCATGCACGCGGAGGCTCAGGCACGTGCGCCCACACTTGCCTGTGCATCCAAACGCAGGATGCGCACAGCTCCTACTGGACGCCCCCACGCCACGCTGCCCCAGGGCGCCAGACAGCTCAGCTGTCCCAGCACCTCCTTTGCATGCTTCTCACGACAGCTGCAGCAACTCCCCTGCCCAGGCCACCCCAAAATATCAACGGTTTGATTAAGCTAGACAACTGCTTAGCCCAGCCCTCCCCACTAGCCCACCTCTCAATTGCTGATGAGGGGAGACCACGTGAGTATGGGCCTCAGACAAGAAGGCCCAGAGAAGGGAGCCCCTGGGATGGGGCTGACCAGTTCTTGGCTGGCCCCAGGGACTGAGAGGCCAAAACTCACCTGGTGGCCCAAGCTGGGCGGGGAGGGGCGGGCTTGGAGGCACCAAGAGGAGCTGTCCAAATGGGGGTCCTGTCGTCCCCGCCCGTCAGCCAGTGGCTGAGGAGTCCACTTCTGCCCCCACTCCAATTCCTCATCTGGGCCCCTAGCACTGAGTTCTGAGCTGGGAACAAGTGTGTGTCTCTGTGGGCCCCTGTGGGCCCTCGTGACTGGGCCAGGGCAGGATGGTGGGGGGCCATGCCAGCAAAGCCACATCCAGCAGGAGCTGGGCCTGAGAACTGGGCTCGGCTCCACTGACAGCCCCAACTGATTTTGAAGATGCTCCACAGACAGACCTGCGTTCAAATCTTGACTACTTCGCAGCTCTGTGACCTTGGGCAAGACACAGAAACGCTAGATCTCGGTTTCCCGGTACATACTGAGCAAGCACAGGAGGAAGGCCTGGAATCTGCATTCATAATACACCCTGGAGGTTTGGGCTCGCTGTGGGCCTGACACCGCGGCTCTCACCCTTGGCTCTTCTACCCCCAGGTCCTCACTGTTGTAACACCGGATCAGCGCTTCTGAGTCCCTCCAAGACTGATGTTTCAAAGATGAATTTTACACATAAATAATCCCTGGGTCAGCAGGTGTGTGGAGGTTAAGGCAACTGGATCCCACGTGGCTGGCTGTATGGTTCAAGTCCCAGACCCATCAGCTTGAAAAACACACCAGGTGCATCTGCAAGCATGCCCAAAATCCCAAAGGAGAATGGAGAAGAGATTGCAGTGTGGCCATACCCCTGAGGGGTGATTTCTCACATTTCTTCTCTCTGTCTCTATAGCAGATAATAAATAAATAAGCCTTTGCATGTCTTTAAGACAGGCACTAGGCAAGAGGGAGCAGTATATTTCAATTTCTGCAAGTATTACCACACGAGCAAGTGCCACCACCCCGGGGCTATCATAAGGACAGCAACGAGAAGTAAGAGGCCCTCTTGCTGAAGCCCCCCGACACGTCAGGCCTGCCGTCTCTGGGTGCGAACAGGAAGAGGTGCTACAAGCTACAGAGGGCTTGGGCCAGTTCCGCAGTGCCCGTAGATGGCCTGGGAAGCACAGGACACCGTGCCTGGACCCTGGGACCTTGGATCCTTCTGCTGTCAGTGCCCAAGCCTCCTTCTCTCAAAACGGAGTGTCCTGAAACAGCAGATGGACTGGCAGGGTCTCTTCCCTCTTGTCAAAGGGCAAAGTAGGACGCCCAAGGCGCGAGGAGACGGAATTCCAGGAGGTGTGAAGCACAGGAAGTCTCTCCTGGGCCTCTCCTGGTCTCCACAAGGTCCCTCCTGCCTCCGCAGGGCCTGCTCACCAAACCTCCTGACCCTTCAAAAGCTCCAAGTGCAGTGTGTACAGCCCCCACCCGGGGCCCTTGCCCCCACCCCCAGGTTCAGTCCCCAGCTGGAAGGGGGAGGGGGGAGTGAGGCAGGCTAAGAAGGAGAACAATGTCCACCAACGCTAAGTTGGTGACTTCCTGCCTTCCTCAGTTCAGCCTCCTGAATCCATCTGAGCTCTGCCCCCATCCTGAGCCGTGGACTCCGCCAGAACCTCCACCCCCTGAGCCGCAGGCACAGCTCTACAAACGTTACAAGGAGGACTCTAGGAGGTTCTTGCAAGGGCCTGCCCCATGCTAGGCACATCATAATGGTCCCTATTGTCATTATGATTAGTTAGGCAGGGAGGAGAGAGAGAAGAATGGGTGGTTAGGAAACCCAGTGGCCGCTCTCCGGGCGCTAGTAAGCCTCAGGGGGCCGCAGGTCCCTGCACTCTCCCGGGCATGCTTCTGAGGGTTCTTCGTCGGAGATCGAAATTCATGATGTTTCCGGTGTTCTCCTCAGACAAATCGGGAAGACCGCCCTTCGGCCAACGTTCCCAGAGGCCTCTCCGCCAAAATCTCAGGGAGTCAGACCCAACCTTCTCTGCGACCGAGAGTACCTCAAACCTCCTGGCAGTCTCATTAACCTTCTGCAGAAACTTTGGCTCCCGTGGGTCACCCGGAGGCCTGGAAGATGAGAAAGAGGGGGCGCCGTGTGGCCGGGAGTGGGGAGCTGCGCGCACCTGCCGCAGGTGAGGCCCAAACGTACGGAAGGGGGAGGAGCCGTCACCGCGGCACACAGGTGAGCCGACCTCCGGCTCCCAGGTGCTAGGCCGAGGGTAGCTGTGAGCTCCAACGGGCCACTGAGAGGTGACCCGTACTGCAGACCGCGGCTCCGGAGGCTCCGAGTCCCGCGCGGCGCGGCGGCCCCAGGAGAACATTCGAGGCAGCCGCGGCGTTGGAGGCCCGGGGTCCGTTCGGTATTTGAATAGCACAAAGGAACCGCCTTGGTCTGATTGGCCAGTCGAGTGGCCCCGGGGCGGGCAGTACTTGTCACTCGGGAGGCTCTGGGCATGTCTATTGGTTTAGCAGGTGTGGGGCGGGACCAGAGCACCCAGCTAAATAGCTGGGGCCGGGGCCGGCCGAGGCTCATTGCTTTGGCGCCGTCTGGGGAGCGCGAGCCTGCGGGTGGCGCGCAGCGCATG